CTGTGTGGAGTTGTGACACAACAAATGGAATTTGCACAAATGTATTCTGGAAAGTCTTCAATGAACCAAAAGGCTTAACATGTATCGACTGTTCTACTTTTGATGTCAACTGTGTTGCATGTGCCTCAAATGGAGAAAGAAAGTGTATCACGTGTCGTGAGAACAGTGGGTTTTATTTGTTCAATGGAAGGTGTGTGGTGTGTGACTTAACTTGCAAAGCAAATACATGTAACTCGACAAATGGATATTGCTCGCAATGTTTGTTGAATTACACAGTGACTTCTCCAATATCGAAAGTCTGTGTAAAGTGTTCTTCATTTGATTCGTACTGCTCGAAATGTGCAACTGACTTCACCAGAAAGTGTGAGTTGTGTTCGAGTGGTAAATACCCAAAATCCACAGAAAGCTATAAATGTACCGATTGTGACTCGACGTGTGGTAGTCAATGTAATGGTTCAACTGGTGTTTGCACTGGGTGTCTGTCAAATTATGTGTTTTCAACAACAAACAGTTTGGTGTGTGACAAATGCTCAACATATGATGCAAATTGTCTCACGTGTGATTCATCATACCAACGGAAATGTGTGACATGCAAGACAAGTGGGATGTATCCCGATGAATCAACAAAGAAGTGCAAATCATGCAGTACCACATGCAATGGCAATTGTGATCAAACTAGTGGTATCTGCACTGCTTGTATGACTAATTACGTGTTTGAAGAGACAAAGAGTAAAGTGTGTGTCACTTGCAAAACATTTGACAGCAACTGCAAAACATGCAAATCAGACTACACACGAAAATGTGTTGATTGTGAAAATGGGGATTATCCCAACAGTGCTGGTGTATGTGTGCCTTGCAACAATGGTAATTGTACAACGTGTAATTCTGCGACTGGTATTTGCACCTCTTGTGTTTCCAATTACGTGTTTACAAATCCGCCGAGTACCACATGTGTTGCTTGCAAAGATTTTGACTCGAATTGTGAAATATGTTCAACAGATAATTCACGAACTTGCATTTCTTGCAAAGCCAATATGTACCCGGATGCTACATATACATGTAAGAGTTGTGATACCTCATGTGGTGGAAGTTGTAACACAACAAACGGAATTTGCACATCATGTTCAACACAGAGTGTCTTCACAGAACCAAAATCGACAAAGTGCATCAGTTGTAGTGTCTTTGACACGTCTTGTGTCAGTTGCAACAATTCACCAAACAGAATATGCTCAACGTGTTCAACAGGAAAATATCCCCAAGCATCTGGAAAGTGTGGCGAGTGTGAATCGACGTGTGGCGGGAAATGTAATACAACGAACGGGTATTGCACCGGTTGCACTGCCAATTACGTCTTATACGAGACAAGCAATTTGAAGTGCCAAAAGTGTTCCGACTTTGATCCGAATTGCAAGACGTGTGCATCTGATTACACACGAAAGTGCACCCAATGCAACGCGGGCTATTATTTGGTGAACAACAAATGTGTTGCATGCGATTCTTCGTGTAACAAACAGTGTGATCAAACTAATGGCTATTGCACTGGATGTGTGACCAATTATATCAAATCCGACACAAACCCAAAGACTTGTGTTGCTTGTTCTACACTGGATTTAAACTGTTTAACGTGTTCAACAAACGGAGATCGAAAATGCGAGATGTGTACAAATCAAACGTATGTCAATCCCACGACATTCAGATGTGTTGCTTGTCCGTCTGGATGTGACAATTGCAACGGGAAAACTGGCGAATGTACAAATTGTGCTAATAATTACGTTGTATCAGCAAGCGATTCGACAAAGTGCGAATCTTGTTCTACTTTTGACTCATATTGTAACATTTGTGCATCTGATGCATCAAGAAAGTGTGTTAGCTGCATTTCAAACTATTATCCAAATTCCACATACAAATGTCAATTGTGTGACTCAACATGTGGTGGACAGTGTAATCCAACAAATGGGTATTGCACTGGATGTGCTACCAACTATGTCTTATTTGAAACAAACAATGTGAAGTGCCAAAATTGTTTTCAAATGGATTCTAATTGCAATAAGTGCGCGACAGACTTTTCACGTAAATGCATTGATTGTGTGAATGGGTATTACCCTGACTCTAATGGCATGTGTGTTTTATGTGACCCTTCTTGTAAAGACAAATGCGATACACAAATGGGGTATTGTGAGTCGTGTATTTCTAATTATGTCTTGTATTCATCAAATAATTTGAAGTGCCAACCCTGTTCTTCATTTGATTCAAATTGCAAAACGTGTGCAACTGACTTTACCAGAAAATGTGTTGAATGCAATTCAATGTTTTATCCAAAAACAAGTGGCGATTATATGTGTCAGAGTTGTGATTCGACATGTGGAGGTCAATGCAGTGGCTCAACTGGATTTTGCACGGGGTGTCTGTCAAATTACGTGTTTTCCATAACAAACAGTTTGGTGTGTGACAAATGCGCAACATATGATGCAAATTGCCTGACGTGTGATTCATCATACCAACGGCAGTGTGTGACATGCAAGACAAGTGGGATGTATCCCGATGAATCAACAAAGAAGTGCAAATCATGCAGTACCACATGCAATGGCAATTGTAATCAAACAAGTGGTATCTGCACTGCCTGTATAATTAATTACGTGTTTGAAGAGACAAAGAGTAAAGTGTGTGTCACTTGCAAAACATTTGACAGCAACTGCAAAACATGCAAATCAGACTACACACGAAAATGTGTTGATTGTGAAAATGGGTATTATCCTAACGATGCTGGCAAATGTGTGGCTTGCAACACTATTGATACATATTGCAAAACGTGCAATTCAAAGATCAAAGAGTGTTTGACATGTCAAGACCCGTATTACTTATCCAGTCAGAAGTGTGTGAGTTGTTCTTCTGGCAGTTACAAAAACACTGAAACATCATGTGGACAGTGTTACAATGATTTGCCCAATTGCCAAACATGTTCAACGCAATCTGTTGGTGTTCCTGTGTGTACTACATGCTATTCTCCATATGTCTTGGCTTCTCAAACAAAAACGTGTGTGAGTTGCACAACCACCCAAATATACAACAAAACAACACAAAAGTGCGACAGCAGTGCTATTGGTTGTTTGACAGGATTGACTAATCAGCAGTGTTTGCGATGTGATGGGTCGTATTACCTTTCTGAATTAAAATGTGTTGCAACAAACAACTGTAACACCCCATCAACAATATCAAAAGTGTCATGTGACTGTGCACACCAGATATCAGTCAACTCCGATTGCAAGAGCAAAGTCTCAAATTGCAAATATCAAAGAAATTACAAAACCCAAAGTGAATGTATTCACTGTGATGACAATTATTTACTTAATGGAGTGACTTGTCAGAAGGTAGCAGCTGGTAATACAATAAGGAACGATGTTGTCTATAAATGTGTTAATGATAATTATCTTGGATATAACAATCAATGTAACGCATGCAATCGCAATGCTTCAATATGCGTCAATTACAACAATGTCATTGAAATCATCGCATGCAAAGAACAATATACATATGACGTGGAAAATAAGAAATGTACCAACGACATTTCTTGTTTAAAATATTCAAACGACTTCTGTTCAAAATGTGTTGGTGACAACATGGAAATGCAGGAAGGCAAGTGTGTAACTTGTTCAGTTCCAAATTGTTTAAATTGTGAAGGTGGCAAATGTAAAAAATGTTCGAAAAATTATGTGATACAAACAAATGGATTCTGTGTTGAGAAGAGTGAAGTGAGTTGTGTCAACAGTGATGGTCTTCGTTGTTTACAGTGCACTGAAAATTTTTATCCGACCGACTCAATTAATAACGAAGGGAAGTATGACTACTGTTTGCCACTTTCTTTGGCGCAAATAGAAGACTGTAAATATTCGTATATATTTAAATCGAAGTGTGTTGAATGTTTGGACTCATTCAAATTGAAGAATGGAAATTGTTCTGAACAGTTTGATGATGAAAATGAACAAGAAAACAATTCAACAAACATCAAACAAGACTTGAAAGGTGCAGAGGTATCATGTTTCATAAGAAATAACAAAGGGTGTCAAAGATGCAATGATATGTATTACTATAACAACTGTGATGGTGAGTGTCTTCTTTGTTCGACAAATTGCAAAGAATGTTACAACACAACTTACTGTACTTCATGCCAACTTGGGTATTACCTTTCCTCTACTTTTACATGTGAACCACTTGGCGACCTGTTTACAAAATGTGACTTGACACTTCCAACGGGTGGTGGATGTGCAATTTGCAAAGACAAATATTACAAAAGAGAAACTGATTGCATTTCTTGTGATGAATCATGTGAGACTTGTGTAGAGGGTGATTCATGTTTAACATGCAAAGAGGAATACTACAAACTCTCTGGTAGAGAAAATAAATTGTGTGTATCATACGACAATTTGACGAATTGTGATACAAAACACCAATTGGATGCGTAAAGTGTAATTCTGGTTATTACT